TTGGAAGCGGAAATCCACATGATGATCTTTACGATCGATATAAAGCAGATACAATTTACAAAAATATATTTCCATCTGAATCATTGAAGTAGCCATCGAGTGAATTAAATATAATCATACGTATGGTCACAAGCGAAACCAAGCATCGTACATTGCATACATTTACTTTTTACGTTTAGGTCCGGAGCTTTAGCCTATAATCAGTACATACTTTGGCCTACTCATCGTCATTGGCATGGCATCGGAGACAGCATTTTTGTGAAGAAGTGGCGAACCCGACGATCAAATCCAAACGCCAAAAAAAAAAAAAGAGATCGAGAACTCCGAACTGTGGGCCCACGTTTCAGCTTTACCTTTTTGATATAGGCCCAGGGCGGATCCGGATCCAATAATGAAATGGTGGGTGGTGGGGGGCACGGGCGCAATTTCAATACATACCATTGCCATGTATTCAAAAATGAAAAATAGAATACAACACAGCAAACACAAAACGTTCTTATAACGTTCGCGAATGTTGTGTTTGGGTATGTCACAAAATAACATTCACACAACGTTGTAAAAATGTTCAAACGTTGTGAGATTGTGAAATGGTAGGCCCACATATGGTTCTACAAAATAACGTTTTTATCACCAAATTGTAACGTTATTATAACGTTCTTAGAGAACGTAATATTATTAGCTGGGAAATACGTGCGCCCATCCTCCACCATCTGGATCGGTCCCTGTAATAATAATAGTAATTGTCGACTACTTATATAGCGCATATTGCAGAGAAATCTATGCGTTTAACATTATTACACCCGGTCGTTGGATCAGCACATATGGAACACATAGTCAGGTCCGATGGGAGAATTCCATAATGTTGCATCTGTAATCAGCGCATTTTTGTGTTTGAACTTACCAGGGACCCACTTGTACTCCTGGGTGGAGCGAGACAACCGTAGATAAAGTGTTACCTAAGGACACAAGCGAAACACGCAGGGATTGAGAATCCGACCTCAAGGTTGAGGAGCAGAACCGCAACCGCTGCATGCGCCAAACCGCTTCCTCTAGGCCTATTTGCGAATGATGTGTTTATCTGAGATTGATGTCTTGAGGTCTGAAAATGTTACTGTGTTCAAAGGGGAAAGTATGCTATGGTCATCATCATGCTTTAGAATTCGCAAACACTTTTACTCTTGCATGTTTATGTATTCTACACATGGATTAAGCTATTTACACCGTTAATTAGATTTGATCACTTCAAAATGAGGTTCAATCAATGAAAACAAAATCAGTTAATCCCCATGGATCTGGCCATCACGGGACAATACAATCTCGAGACACTTTCATCGGCATCTGTAAACTATGAATTCAAAGGCCTATTTTACATAATTAAACCATGGAGGTTCTAATTTTATCTCTTTTTAACTTTTTTAAATTTTTATCTTTTCAATTGTTTTATCTTTGAATATGTTTACCTTTCTAAAATTGCTATCCTCCATTTTTAACTTGTTTGATGTTTGTCAATGCCAATACCGTAGCCAGCTACTGGGACAGTTGGGAGAGTCCCACACAATTTTTCTATTGGGTCCACATTTCATAAATGGGTCCAGCTTTCTCCTAATTTGTGTAAAACGGGTCAACTTTTAAAAACATGGGTCCAGATTATTCATATTTTCGCTTAAAAGGGACAACTTTTAAGAAAATGGGTCCACATTATTTGAATTTACACGTAAGGTGGGTCCACCCTGACACTGTACGTCCAACACAGTTTGAAAATCCTGGCTGCAGCATTGGTCAATGCTGTTTATTTTTGTATGGGATCCCATTAAAAACGTGTCAGCTTGTTAGCTTTAGGGCCATCCTGGTTCTCCATTCACTCTTTCTGCTTTTAGGTTTTCACTTTTTAAATCGTTTTGGTTTGTGCAACCATTTCTGTAATGTGTTGGGTGTCGGAGTACCTGATACATTTCAATTCAATTCCCCATTATTAAAACAATGTGAATGAAAACTGAGTTTTCTTCATGTGGATTTCATTAAATTTTTTAATTTAGTTAATATTTTTAAATGACCAATTTCCATATATTTCCACCACAGACAGAAGTAACGCAATATCTTATATGTAATCAAAACCTCTAGATGAAAGTTGTCCTTGCTCTGTGGTAATGTATCGCACCATGTTTACGTAAAACGATAAGTCTTAATTTAGCTCGAAAATCTAATGTATACACACACATGTTTTACTGATAAACATTAGACCCTTTTAAGCAAATTGTAGTTCGAAATCTATATTTATCCTAAAATTTAGCAAGAGATTAATTTAACGATCTATAATTGTAAATATAATATTCAATACAAAATTAAGATTTCTATATTTTCGTACGCTCTGTTTCTTTGTTGTGTGTCTGTTATGAAATTAAATAAATAAAAAAAACAAAAACAAAAAAAAACAAACAAACCCAATAGTATTCAATGCAAATATTAATGATGAATAATAATGATGTCGACGATGATGATAATATTGGGATAATGATGATGATAATAATAATAATAATAATAATAATAATAATAATAATAATAATATAAGAATAAGAGTATATATATAGGAATAATTTGCAATGCAAAATTCATTTATAATATGAAATCAGGAGGAATGTATGTTCCCAATATTATTTCGAGATGTGATGTGAATGATCAAATAGATGC